CCTGCCGCTCCCCCTGCTTGTGCTCTCTCCCTCTCTCTTGCTATCTCTCTCTGTGTGTCAAATAAATAAATAAAAATCTTAAAAAAAAAAAGATATCCACGATTATAAAAAAAAAAAAAGAAACTAGACTAGAAGATGTACACTGGAAGATTACATTTAGATCATGGGTGAAGTTTTCCCCCCTAATTTTCTATCTTAACCAAGTTTAGGTAGTGAGCATCTATTCTTACCCATAAATATCAACATTTAATAACATTATTTTTAATATGTAAGATAAATAATTGACAGTAAGATTCCATGTATCATAGAAAAAAACAACACCCTTTCCAAACATTTAACTTTGAAGGCCAGCAAAGAAAATAAAAATTGGAGGAAATTTCAAGAAGTGAATAAAATCTAAAATATTCATTACATCCATTTCACTATGATTTTAATCCAAACTATATCATATGAAGTACTTTAACTAATTTTCAAAAATGTATAATAGATTTTTAGGTCCATGAGGGCAAAGGTCATGTTTTCTCAGCTTTCTGTCATCAGCACCATGGGTAGTGCTTAGAGTATAGAAGCTGTTAATAAATGATTTGGTGCATAATTAGTATTATTGAAATGACAAATAAAGAAACGGACAGTTTGGAGGATATTTGCCTGCCGAGTTACTATGCCTCCTTTTTCTGGCAATAGCCTACAGTTGTTTTGGGCAATGACCTCTCCGCCACTTTTTGCCCATGTGATCTGGCCTGCCCCTTGACTTTAAACTTATGGACAAAATTTGGCCAGTGGAATTGTGTTTTGCCCAAACTATCGGAAGCAAGATACATTCTTTCAACTAAGGATTATCAAACTGGTAGAATATAATCTTAGTGCTTCTGGTGGCCATCTTTGCCTCAACACTGAGGAAACTGAATGACAATGAAACCAACACAAAGGAAGATCTGGAGAGAACCAACAGCTTGGTGAGATCATTTGATCACTTGGCTCGAGCTTTGCCTGAATCCAAGATGTCCCTGGACTTTCCAATTACGTGACCTAACAAATCCCTTTATCCCCAACTATTTTGTTTTGTTTTGTTTCTCTTAAACCAGTTTGAATGAGGTGTGAGTGCCGAATAGAGTTCTAAATCACACAGAGACATTATGCTGATCTTTCTTTTCATAGGTTTGCCAACAGTTTTGATAATGTGAAGCAGTCATTTTTAAGGTAAAATTAATCCATACTCTATGCAAGCAACCTCAAGAAAACATTGCTAATAATTATCAGTACTTATGAATTACTTTTAATTTTCAATAACCTTTTACCCAGATAAAAGATTATGAGTCCAGTGGAATTGAAGGGGCTTTCCACTGTGGTACATTGAACTCATGGGACCCAATGTGTCTTTTATAGCTAAGACTTTTTTTTCTTTGTTCATACACTTCTACCTTCCCACATTAAGATCACACACCCTCATTTACCCCTGTAGTTTCTGTTATCTTTGGTCATGTATATTTAACACAAAGTGCCTTGTTATGGGTTCATCAATGTATACAGATTCCTAAAATAAATTGGGTCACCTGACAGAATAACTCTATCAGTATGTGGCTACTTTGAGGTCTTGAATTTATTCATAAATAACACTTTCAACAAGTTGGTTGTGCATAAACATTTCTTCTGAAATTTGTTACTGTATTTCCATAAGACACATTCTTGGAAATTCACAAGAAGGCATATTTTCTCAACATGTCTTAAACTAAAAACTAAAAAACTATAAAGGCCACGTGGGTCTTTAGATTTAAATCTTTCTCTGTATGACCATAAATCTGTGGTGGAAAACAGGTTATGTAATACTGACATATTTAAATATTTTTTTCCTTCTACAGGACTCTGCATTTAGAATGTAATCCTTGTCTCTTAATTTCTCTCTGAATTGCTAAGATATTTAATATTTGCTATAGTGTCTTCTTTTACCCTGTATTTTGAACTAGAAAGAAAACTACATTTGTACTTTCCTCCAGAAACTTGTACCTTTTTAAAATTTTAATAAGATGCCTGTCTTCCTTTTCTTTTTTGGTATATGGGGCTTATCTTCTACCAGAGGTAAGAGTCCTGTATATGGACCCTTAAATATGTGTTCAATGAATACATCTGTTTGTGTATCTTTAGATAGCTTTTACATAAGAGATCTCGGATTTACAATAACTTTGTGTTTGTTTTACTTAAGTGCAGTCTCTTTAACTTTTTATTGCACACTTAGGCAATTATATGGTATAAAACATTAGCACTTGCTATGAGCCAGACACTGTTCAAAGTGTTTTCTATGTATTATCACATTTATCCTCATAATAATCTATAAATTAGCAGCTATTGTTATCCCCATTTTATAGATGAAGAGTCTGAGGTGCAGAAGAGTTAAGTAACTTGCCTAATGGCATATTGCTAGTAAGGAGTAAAGCCAGGAGTTGAAGCCCCAGGTCATCTAGCTACAGAGTCTAAACTCTTAATCTGAAGAATCTAAGCTTCTAACCACTGTACTACACCATCAATCATTCAGTTATGCTGGTAATTTAGACATAGATTAAAACAAAATGCAACTAACATACACATAAAAATGAAAATAAAATAGAGCTTTTTCTGAATAATCTATAGTACTATAAACATATTTAGATACCTATATTTAAATATACACCTAGATAATCAGGCAGAAACATACACAGACAGAATTACACTTGGATCTGCACATATACATCAGGTAATTATCCCTATTTCTATATTTCCATTCTTTTCTTTTCTCCCAAAGTATCAAATATGAAGATATCCAATTAAAGTGACTTTATTTTCTGAGCAGTCAAATTCCAATGCAGGCCCAGAATATATTTATCAGTAGTATACCTTTGTATACCTTTGGCAATAAAATACTACAAGATATATTTAGTTCTTGTTCCCTGGTCTTTTATTTTCCAAATCTTCCCAGCCTCTATGTGCAAAGAAGCAGTTATATTTACTATTTTCATATTTACATGCAGGAAAGGAATTGCTCCCACTGTCAAATAACCAAAAGAAAATCTTTCATCCTTCCTTTCTCAGCAGCACGGGCATTGGGCTGTGCCTTTACTTTTCAGTTAAACACAAGGTAGAAATGTCAGTAGCAAGAGCAGGAAGAGTGATTTCATGTATAAAAATTCATCATGTCAATGGTTTAACAACCACTTTACTTGACTATAGAATGACTCTCACAAAAGAGGCCAGGTGCTCACAGTATTCCAGAGTGATGCGCTGCTATTAAGAGGTGTTAGGTTATAACTGCTTCTGAATACATTTTACTAGTCCCAACCTGGCTTATTCAGCAAGGCTGAATTCTTACAGGCCTGATCACTTTATTTCTTTCTTTTTTTCAAGGATTTTATTTATTTATTTGTCAGAGAGAGAGAGCGCACACACACAAGCAGGGGGAGCATCAGGCAGAGGCAGAGAGAGAAGCAGGCTCCCCGCTGAGCAGGGAGCTCAATGTGGGACTCGATCCCTGGACCCTGGAATCATGACCTGAGCTGAAGGAAGAGGCTTAACTGACTGAGCCACCCAGGCATCCCACACCTGATTACTTCCTGCTCCTTTTCAACATATGGGTCTATATTTATCATTGAAATAACATGAGAGTGAAAAAGTAGCATTTTAGTGGCTGTCAGGCCTGGTTCCGATGTTGACTTCTCCATCGTCTGTGGGTCAGTTGGCAAAGGATGATCACCTACTTTCTCGTGGTTTCATCATCTACAAGGAGCCCTCGCTGGGCTGTTTGGGAGGATTCACTGAAATGCCTGCCATGGTTCCTGATTTTTAGCAGTGGCTCAGGAAATACGAATTTTAGTTCCTTCTCTATAGGCCAAATGAAACATTGCCATTTGAAAATACTTACCCTCCTTTCCTAACGTCCATCACTGCTGATGGGTGCCATCGATACTGAACTCACTGAGTCGTGACAGGAGAAATGATGCTTTAGTCCTCCTTGCAAGGGTCATTAGTGTTTAAAAAAACTAAACTGGATGGAATATGGTACTTTTAGACTAGGATAGCCTGCATGTGATGCACCAGTAATTAGGATGAATGGAGTGATTTGAAAGAGAGTTGGTCTCAGATCTTAGCTGCTCTCAAATAATGATACTCAAGGAAAAAAACATATTGCCTCACAAGTAACAAAAAAGAATGCCATACAAAAATTACATCCCAGCTGTTTCTTTATTCTCTTTTATGAGGTCCGTATACACTGTGCTAAATTCTTTGTGACACCTAGACCAAACCATAGTGGCCAGCCGATGACAGGGAGTAGGCAGAGCGAGGTCCCCGCTGTAACCGGAGTGCCAGGTCTCCCTGGGAGCTGCAGAGCCGTGGGTAGGCAGACAACACCTAAACCCTTAGATGGGGAGATAACTTCCCATGGCTGTGACTGCACATGCATATGGCCCCTGATTTGCCAAAACGACAGCTGAGGTGGCATCACTTCCCCGTAGGGAGTGTGTGCACCATTTCTGTTTGTACCCAGGGGCAAGACAGGTTAATAAGGCTGAGAAGGAGGGGAGGACGTAGGAGTGGGTAATAACTGGAGAGCTTCAACCTGGGGGGGAAAAGGAGGAGGGGCGAGGATGGAGGGTGTTCCCTCTTGCTTCTGCCTATGTGTCAAGTAGCAGGAGAAATTTTGAAAGCTGTGAGGAGGAGCTAGTAACTGGGTTTTGGGGTGTTTCATACCCCACCCTCCCCACTTGTAGGAAAACCTCTGCACATTCAGAGGTAATTGAATTGGAAGGAGGAGGACTGACCTGGAAATAGGAGGAAAGCAATTCTCCTGCTGTTCCTTCTGTCTTTTATCGCTTGCCTCCTGACTCTCCTCCAAACCCAGCTCAGCTGCGCCAAGGTGGCCGCAGCATACCCCACGCACGTGCCAGCCATTGGGGAATCTGCTAAAGCCACCCTGTGCATCCCAAGCTGCCCTATTATCCAGCCACCATCCCTGACCATTGGGACCACTTCTGATGGCTGTGGCCTCGGCTGCCCCAGGGAGCATCTTCTGTAAGCAGCTCCTTTTCTGTCTCCCGGTGAGTAACAACCAAAGGATTAGGGAACTCAAGCATGTCACTACGTGCTTCCTCCCTCCAGTTTGGGCTTGAAAGGCAGTAGGGGTGGCAGTGGAAGGCAGAGAAGATAGACTGGGAAAACAAAAACAGAGCTGAGGAAAAGTCAAGGAAGAGTTGAGAGACCTGTGACCTGTGACGGCAGGTGTTTTGTTTATTCTTCACGTGCCCACTGCCAGGACATTAACGTTTTTCAAGGGAATCCCCTGTTCAGTCTTGCTCTGGTGTTTTCCTAAGGAGTAGTGGAATGACTTCATTCATCGGGCATTTGGCCCAAAGGTTCTGAGGTTTGCTTTTGCTAGGAGTCATTAAATAAGCTGTCGATATTTTACAGTTTAGTTCCACTGAGCTGCAAGAAGAGGAAAAGGAGCCTGGGTGAAGTTGCAAATTATCCAGGACTTTCATTTTACCCACCAGGAGCTAAGAGACAAGCAGAACTCCTAGTTTGAGCAAGGGGTTTAACTTGAGAAAAACAATAAAGAAAAATGTGACCGTCATTGAAAAAATTCCATTAAGTTGACTTCTACTTAGGTTTTTCAGAGTTTTGTACGTGTGTACTCAGGTGCTATTTTTCTTTGGTAGGAATGAGGGAGAGGGGACTTGTCCAATATCTCCATCTGGCATTTTCTGAGCTGGGAATTTCCTTTTTTTTCTCTCCATTTTGGCAAAAATCCTTTAGCTTCAAGTTATATTTTTAGAATTTAAAGATTTAACTGTATGGGGGTAAACAATTTCTCCATATAAATATATGATGCAGGGTTGATGGTCAAATGCTCATTCTGTAACTTCCTGGGGTAGGGGGGACAACAACAACTTCAGAGACCACCTTAAATTAGTATTAGGTAAAATGCAGTGAAAGATTTCTGAGGGATTCGTCCAGATTTCTTTTGCTTCTGGTCTCTGCTGTGTCCAGTATCTTTTGGTTCATCCTTTGCCCATCCACCCTTAACCCCCATAATAGCTAAAAGGTTGTCTGACCCCAGCTCCCTCTAAGTCATTAAGCTGTGAATTTAACTTGAAGACTGGAACAGTACTTCTGCAGACCTCCATTGGCTATGCCTACAGAGGCAGAAGCAAAGAAGTGGGGGTCCTAGGGCGGGAAGGAAACAAGATTGGTGTGGGAGTGGGAATGTGGCTACATCCTATGAGAATCATGTGTGTGTATATATAGGTTAGATATATGTATATACACACACGTATATATACACACAGATGTGTGCATACATATATATATTTTGTCAATTAAAAAATACTCTTTCCATGTCATATATTTAGATCATTACTAATAGGATTCTTTATGTTCAGAAAGTTCTTGGGCTATAATTTAGTTTATTCCTTGGCATTAGGAATGAGTATATTAAAAAAGTCAAATAAGAACGTCTTATGTTTTAAAAAAGTGGTTATTTAAACCGAATACAATTCCAACAAATTCATTCTGCAACTATTTGTTAAACACCTACTATGTGCTGAGCACAGAGTTTCTGACAGAGAACAAGAGAGGTGTGGTTTTTCCCCTTCAGTAGCTCACAAGCTAATGGAACTGAGGCCTGGAAACAGAAAGAACATTGCATGACTATATGATTAGCCTTATGCTACATTCGGGGAAGGGAAATGTGGGGGTGTTGTGAAAACATATAACAGGGAGGCTTAAAAAAATAAAAAAATAAATATAATTAATTAATTAAAGTGAATACAAATTGACTTTTTAAATTCCAGTTTTTTGTATTATCTGCATTAACAGTTTTTGTAAAATTACAAACTATTTAAATAGGCTGATATAATACGGCAAGTGGAATTGAATTGAGTTGGAAATGAACTACACAGTCTGGGTATGGACGATAATGCCCTCCTCTTTCTTTCTCCCAAATAATATGTCCCATAACTCTAGAAATACATCCTCAGAAAAATTAATCATAAAATTGACCTGTTTCTGGGAAATCTAGCTCTGCTCTATCTTATATTTAAATAATCAAAAAGCAGTCATTTTGATAAACAGAAGAGGAAGCAAATAAATAAAAAATGCCAAGAAAATAGAAGCAAACTATGTTTTGAAACTGTCGATACTTTTAAGCTAATAACTTTCTTTCCCCAGATAGTTTATCTTCGTTCCTTTAACTACCTAGCTTTCTAAAACAATAGCTGTGTCTTGAATTTAGTTACCAATCTTTACCCTGTTGAAGGCTACTCCTTATATTTTGATTTATATTTCTTTTTAGACCAGTTTTTTGATTCGAGATCATTTAGACTTTCAAGTTTATGCCAAACCAGTCCCAGGAGTGATCTGAGATGAGTGAAGATTTGTGGGTGTTGTTCTTTACGAGGTTAAAAAAAAATCCTCATGGTTTCTAGCCTTAATCAACTATAACTTCAAATTGTGTGGGGTTGTTGGAAATGACGATTTGTGTACAAATATGTGATCATTAAATTCCAAAGTTAAGTACTTTCTTCATGCTAAGAAATCAGAGTGACATTTATGGATTGGCCTTAGAGATGACAATCTTTATATAAAATCAATTGTTTGTAACCCATTTTTTTTTTAATGGTACAATAGGATTTGGGTTCTAAGAACTACTGTTCATTTTAATTTTCATTAATACTAAATGACTGTGGTGCCCCTAAAGCCACTTCCTTTGCTTTTCCCTTTTAAAATGAATATGGGGGCGCCTGGGTGGTGCAATCTGTTGAGAATTGCACTCTTGGTTTTGGCCAGGGTCCTGATCTCAGGCTCATGGCATTGGGCATCAGGCTCAGAGTCTGCTTGAGACTGTCTCTCTCTCTCCTTCTGTCCTTCCGCACCCCCCACCTTCTCTCTCTCTAGAATAAAATAAATAAATCTTTAAAATCAAATGAATATGAAAAATATTGAAGGACCAGAAGATAAATTTGTTTCTGAAATTGACATTATTTTTATCAATAAGACAAAACTGTAATGTGAAAGTTTGTGATCAAATATAATTCCTGATTTCTTCTTCTTCTTCTTCTTTTTTTTTTTTTTTTGAGGTTTTAATATTGTCTTGCGATGCTTGTCAGAAAATTTCTCTTCAAGTTCCTTCTCATCTTCAGGCCGAAAGACTTGTAGGCAAAGGTGAGAAACGGCATTAAGAATTTCATAGTTTTAACTGCTACATTTAGCTTCAGGCTGCTCTTGTAAAGTTTGGGATAAAGCCATGTAATAGCTACTTGGCATTAAAATTCAACATAAAATGAAAGATGGACTACTTGTTTTTTGGTAGTGGTTAGAAACAATTAAAGTACCAAGTTAGTTGTATACTCTTCTTGCCAGAAAAATTAGCAAACATCAAAGGGCTAAATTAGCTTAGTTCAGACTAATGAAGGCATGAAAACCAGAGGCATATTTTTATCCATATCAACTAATCTGCTGCCAAAATTCCAAAGCCAATGCTCTTTAATTGATTAGATATAAAACAGATGTGTTAAAATTTAAATGTCCCTAAATAATATTCGTGCTTGAGGTTGCCTATAATGAACAAGTACCCCGTGAAGAATTTATGTGATCTGTTACACAGAATAGCTTGTGGGGAAAGTCAAATAAAATTTCAACAAGTCTTACTATCACAGCCATCCCTCAAGCATAGGTTGGTCGCTCTGAGTCCAAGGGTCACATTCCTTTTATCAGGTTTTTCTTTGGCCTTAAGTTTAGACCTTGAATACAGAAGTGGTATCCTTTCCAAGACAGACATCATTTTGCCCAGTGCTTTGAAGTTTTAAATTAATTCATTGCCTTATATCTTCTAAAAACACTTAAAAGATAATACAACCTATACTCTATAGACACATAGCAAATATGCTAAATATGTTAAATATGAATCTGTAAGTGAAATATTTTGATAACAACCCCATTATATATATTAAGTATTACTCAGGTATAGGCCAGTTTTCTTACTTTTTGCAAGATAGTTTTAGTTATCAAAGATTGTTGCTGACATGTTTCCAAATCTACTGATACCATACAGTTATATACTACATATAAAATGATAAATTTGTATGTATATGTACAAACCCATAAGTAAGAGTTAAAGTGGAAACAATAAATCCAGGGACACTAAGAAAATATTTTATATGTCTTCACAAATTAATTTATGATGAAAATAATGGAAACTATGACTCCATTTATTTAATTATTTAATTTCCATGGCCCCTCAATTTTATAATAGCAGGTACTCAACAAGCTCCAGGCATAACCTCCCTCTTTTTGCTTCTCGTGGACTTACTGTCAGTTGTCATTCCTGTAAAACCTGTTCTATTCCTGTTTTATTTTACAAATTACTGCGAATGTCTTCCCTGCAGTGAATCTGAAGGAATGCTTCCCTTCGGCCCGCCTAATCCTGTCGAGCGATCCTGACTTCAGGATTCTAGAAGATGGTTCCATTTACACAACACATGACCTCATTTTGTCTTCTGAAAGGAAGAGCTTTTCCATTTTTCCTTCAGACAGCCAGAGCCAAGAACAGAAAAAGATAGAAATCGTACTGGACGTGGGAGGAAGGAAGGTATACAGTCTGCTTATGAGAGTCCATCATTTCATGTATTTCCTTCCCCCCTAAAATCATTGTTCCTGAACACTCACTTGTTTATTTATTCCGCTTCTAATTAACCTATGCAAAGTCTAGACTGTTTCAAGAAGTGGTAGAGCTATCTACAAAATGGTGTAAAAATGAACAGCTCTGCAGCCTATCAAAGATTTCAGATAATGGTTGGAGGTGTGGCAATTAGCACAACCAACCTGAGAACAGGCAGGGGTGAGTCTAAAACTCAGTGAAAACTGGTTCAGGTTGGAGGTGTGGCACTCCACCCTGAGTGGCTTTCTCCCAAGTGACTGTGGGTTTCAGTCGCTTTAAAGAGATTGCATACAGCTTACTCCCATCTTAATAGAAAATGCCACGGGGTCCCTCTCTTCAGAGAATGACGTATAGCCAGCCCACAGGACTGGTTGGAATGTTCTGGCTCTAGGCTCATTTTCTTGCAATGAGTGCTAGTGATCAAGGAGTGGGAAGGGAGAGGTTACTGAAATTCACAGAAATCTCACTGTAAGCAAATTCTGCACCATGAAATACTTGTGGAATAATTTATTAATAAGTAATTTAATTTATGAGAGACTTCCCCAGCTAAATTCCTTCTGATTATAAGAATTCTTCACCAAATTTAGAATATGCTTGCATTTTAATATGCATTACACATATTACAAATTTAGGAGAAGGCTTATAAAACATTTCATACTGTAGAGTTCCCACATCACATAAAATAAAATATACTTGAACGAATGCTGACCTCTATCTTTGCATTGTTATACAAATGCTTTGCACTGTAGCACGTGTTTTAACAAATATTGGTTATGCCACGCTTAGTGGAATAAAAATCAGTTTTTAGATATTTGTTAACAGATTATCTCAGTTTAGGGGGTTTATACTTCTCAAGATGGCATCTTTCAGCAATGCCCTACAAAATTCTGGTTGATTAACTGGTTAAATCGAATGAAACTGGTTCTTACGTGTGCATGTATGTATCTTAATAAAAAACAGAAATGGTTTGGGTATTACCTGTGATATCATTATGTACAGCCTTTCCTTATTTTTTTCATGTTGATGTACATGTGAAAATCACAGTTCCTGACGAGAGGCAGGGCTGTATTTCTTCATCTCTCACCACATGCAGGCTCCCAAGAAGAGGCACACCAGAGACACAGTTCTCAAACGCAGCAAGAGACGATGGGCCCCTATTCCCTGTTCACTAATGGAGAACTCACTAGGTCCATTTCCACAACATGTTCAGCAGGTACATTTTACCTCATTTGACTTTATATAGTAGAGGTTTTGCTTGTTTACTTTTAAAACTTTCCATTTGAATGGAATCAGGCCTTTAACCTGTTGTACTAATAAGGATCATCCATTCACCAGGACTAGAAAAAAAAAATCAGTGTATTTGGTCACTTTTCTCCAGAAATCATATTCAACATTTAGAAACAAGTTTAAGATTTTGAGTTTCTGATGCTCTTAAATCTATATCTAGATTTTCCTGAATACTCTACCAGACTTCAGCATTCTTGGACAGAGGACATGCCTACAGATTTTGCATAATTCAATTGTCCCCTTAATTAACACTTATCCTCACAAAAAAGACCAGTATTTTTGTTTACCAAAAAGGTGATGTCACTGCCAGCTAGCTGAAGCGTAAAAATACGCCAGCTTTGAAATTATGAATTAATTGTGGGTGGAAGGTTGCGTTATTTTTACTTTTTTTAATCAGAAAAGTTTCCATTCCAAATAACTCAAAACCACTGAAATTGTTACTGTGCTTTATATAGGAATAAGCACTAAGTGACTAGGAATTGTGAAGGTATGTTCAACTCCAAGATTTTCCAGAAATGTGCAGAGAATTCAGAAGAATTTGGGATCAAATAGATGATCCAGTTTGTGGCTTTGCACACTGCAGAATGTGAATAAGAATGTGAAAAATATGGGGAATGATGGGAAGGTAAGCAGGGGACAGAGAGAATAGGTGAATAGGAAAGAGAGCAAGTGATAAAAATGAAAGCATCACGACAAATTAGGTTGAAGGTATTTATCATAGCATATTTGTTCTTTTACTAAATTGTCACTTAATGTTATAGGTCCAATCTGATGCTGCACAGAACTACACCATCTTTTATTCCATAAGTGGACCAGGAGTGGACAAAGAACCCTTCAATTTGTTCTTCATAGATAAGGACACAGGGGATATCTTTTGTACACGAAGCATAGACCGTGAGCGATATGAACAGTTTCCAGTAAGATCATTGGATTATTCAGAATTATCTTTTTTAGTTATGGTTTTTATATTTTCAATGCTGCTTATTTACATATTAGAAGCATTATTTGATTTAACATTTTAAATATTGTTAATGTATAATGTAAACTTCAAGTTTCTATTAGTGAAGTTAATGAAGAAAGATAATGGGTAGCATAAGGGAAGAAAAGGGGAGAAAAACTATGTAAAATATAATGACAAATTTTAAAGGCTGGGCTTTGATCTGTAGAACCCTGGGACAATAGCAGTGAATTTTGTTGAGTTTGTAGTTCCCGATAATAACAGGTTTCAACTATTCTCAACCTGACTGTACATTACAAATCACATGAGAACTTTTTAAAAAATATTGATGCTTGGGTCACTTCCCAGAAATTCTGATTTAATTGTTCTGGGATAGGGCCCCAGCAATCGAAAATTTAAAGTAACCCAACATAATTCTAAACATATCTTAAGATTGAGGTTCACTGCTTTCACCTCTTGAATAACATAGTGCTTCTTCTCTTTTCTTCTCTCTGCCTGTCCTCCAGCCATGAGAACCTTGGATATCATTTTATTTCTTTAGTAATCCAGAATAAGTTTATCAGTTCCTCTTACTCTATCTAATTTGACCCAAAGAAAATTGTAGCTCTTCTGAAAATTAAATCCTTTCTTTTTTCTGTTTCAAACTTCACATAACTCCTTAGTGTTCTGAGGTCTAACCTGACATACAGGAGAAATTCGCAGTGAGTTTCAGGGAGACAGTGAGTTTCAGGGAGACAGTGAGTTAAATTGTTTAAGCGCTTGGATTCTTGAATTAAAAAACTCTTCATTAAAGGAGTCCATAAAAGGAAAAATTATCTCATACTTGGGCAGTCCAGAAAGTAACATCTTAGCAGATATCCAAAAGATAAGCGGGAACTAGTAGCCACACAAATGCAGCCATGAAAGAAGTGAATGATCACGGGGCGGGGGTGGGGGGGTGGGGGGGTGAAGACCCTATCCTAAGGGTGTCAAAGCACTGGATAAAGTGATAAAATTTTTAGAACAGCATAATGTCCCACTTTAGAGATTTCATAATTAAATTAAATGGTTGGATTAGAATGACACATTTTCTTTATAATTTTATGCTCCCACCCAAATTCTCTAAACAAACGTACCTTATGCATAATAATACTAAATTATTACTTTAAGAAACAGCTTACATAGACTCTAATAGGAGAGGTATGCTAAGCATTATTGCAAACATTCTGATCTATCAAGAAACCAAATAAAAAGTTGAAATATGTATATATATATATATAGGTATGTGTGTGTAAATATGTAAATTCTCTGCTCCCCCCTTTTTAAAAAGATTTTATTTATTTATTTGTTAGAGAGAGAGAGCACAAGCAGAGGGGGCAGCAGGTAGAGGGAGAAGCAGGCTCCCACTGAGCAAGGAGCCCCAATGCAGGTGTCTATCCATTGGCCCTGGGAACATGACTTGAGCTGAAGGTGGATGCTCAATCCACTGAACTACCCAGGCGTCCCTCTGCCTCTTTTAAAGATCCAGTATAAGAAGAAAAGATCTAGCACTAGTAGTCACTCCTGAGAAGAAATAATAAGCTACCTACTCTGTATGCTGCAATGTACATTTCATTTCTTATTTTGCTGATAACATCCTGTTTTTGAGTTTTTGAAGTTTCAGCTGCTTCTCACTGGATCATTGTCAGAGAAAAGGAGGAGAGAATAGTTTTATTCAAAAAAAAAAAAAGGGCACATGGGTGGTGCAATTGATTAAGTGACCAGCTCTTGGTTTTGGCTCAGCTGTGATCTCAGGGTGGTGATCTCAGGGTCGTGAGACCGTGCCCACCTGGGGCTCTGTGCTCAGCATGGAGTTGGCTTAAGACTCTCTCTCCCTCTCCTCTGGCCTTCACCCTCATGCTCTCTCTCTAAAATAAATAATAAATAAATCTTAAAAAAAAAAAAAATAAGTTACATGGAGTGCCAGGCTGGATTATGTTGGTAGAGCATGTGACTCTTGATCTCAGGATTGTGAGTTCAAGCCTGAAGTTGGATGAAGAGATTACTTTTTTTAAAAAGTGACTTTGCTATTTTTAAACATCTTTTGAAGGACAAAAGGAATAAAATAGTTTGGAATTTATTCTTATTGTTGGGCTTCTGGATAATTTTTATTTCAGAATTACCCATGTTTCTCTAGTTCCCATTAACATAGTTAAGATTGAATTGATATTAAGAAATACCACATGCAAATTAGTAAGATTCATAAAGGGAAGTATAACAACCAGATGTAAACATGATGAAACATGGAATCACTTGAGGCAATATAGAATGGAAGCCTTCTCTGTCAACATAGAGGTGCAAACTAAAATAATACATCTTTGCTTTTCTATCAAATCAATTTCACTTACTAGCTTTATATGGGAAAGCTTATTTCTCTGGAAATTAGTAGATTTTCATCTTCTGCCACTTTTTCTTAGCCTTAGATGAGTCACAACCTTCAGGAATCTGTTTCCTTCTCTGTCTTATGGGCTACTAATAGTCTTATCTACCTCAGAGCTGTTACAAACATTAAATACTCAAGTTAAATATTGGTAAAATCAGTATGTAAACCGTACAGCTCTTTAAAAATGTCCTAGTGGTAGGTCACACAATACACATGCTCTAGGATTTTGTCCTCAAAACAGGATTTTGACGGGATTTCCCAATTTTTTGCATTTATCTAACCTATACAAATGTTATGTATTACTCAATTTTTGTTACTTGAAATAATTTGATTTCATTGATTATTGGCACAGGTTGCCATGGGTCTAATTCAATATACATCCTCATTGTGCTCCTGTTCTCTCTCTTGCCCCATGTTAGATTGTTTAATCTTGGCTTGTATTTTTCTGGATGAGTCATAGCATTATTACAGTTTGAGGAGTTTGTCTTAAACCATTAAGTTCATCTAATCTTTCGGGGATGTGTATAAGTCCATTTTATCCAAGCTTTTCAAAGAATAGTTGTATAAGAAGAGGATTTTCTTCAGTAATTCCCGGTTATTCTATGAAAGAAAGCAGTTGCATACCTATTTCTCTTTGAGTGTTGAGGAGAATCTGTATCTTTTGTAAATACACAGGGAAAAATTGGTTTGAAGCTAATCCCTTTCCCATCCAACCAGTGCCTTATTATCTTGCAACATGTTTCTTCTTCAGCTGCACAGGTCCACCCATTGTCTTTATATGTTCGTTGCTAATCACATTGTGTACCCACTTCACTTTGGTGCCACTGCTTCCCCCACCTCTGCCCAATCTACATGAGACATCTTTCTTTACAAGGTCAAACTCAAGTTCCCACTCCTGTTGGCACCTGTTTGCATCTTCCCAAAGATAAAAAAAAAAAAAAAAATTTAGCAAATTGCAGTGGGAAAGGGCTAAAAGAGATGAGATTGTTCAAGCTACAGAAGAATTCAAGGGAGAAACAATATATCAAAAATACACATGAAATTTAAATAATTCTCTTCTAACTCAACTAAAAATATGACTAATTTTAAAGTATAATATTTTATATACTTCTCATAGCAATATTCAAGTATATGATTATTGGTTTCAGTATAAAATAATGTGAACTCTACTGTAAAAGCAGTACGATTATTGAGTTTACTTTAATGACTAAATAAGAAAATATTTATAATTAGTTTCTCTATTACAGGAACATAAATGGATTCTCCTAGGGAGCTAGGCTATGCTTTAAAGTTTAGCTATATTCCTAGTTTAGATCATCCTCTCTACAATAATGATTTCAGTTTTGATTTATTTTGGAGATACTTAGCTCATTATTAGTAAAAAAATAAATAAAACCAGGTACCTGAAATAGTACCTGAAATAAAATCACCACATTTGAATCCGTGGAATGTGAGATAATGATATTTACTTGTTGTTAAACATCAGGAAACACTATTATTTCAAACTCTAAATGATTGTATGGTGAGAACCAGATGATCTTCATTTCTGATGAAGAGAAACACTAGCAAGAAATTGTGTAAATTATAGCAGGATGGGTTTAGGTTAGATAGGGAGATAATTTAATGCCAATGTGATGAAGTAGAAGAATTCATTACGAGTGATTCTATGGAGAATGTTTATGATAATTTTTTACAAAGGGCCGATTTAAAGGGTAGTTTGTCATTCTAAAAAGGAAAGATGGATGAAATTGAATGTGAAAAGCTACTTATTGAAGAATTACCTCCTTGTGCCCTGTGTTAGGTGCTTTGGCATACAAATATCAGTATGTCTCAGGCTTCATCCCTGAGGACAATTGTCAACTTATAGAGACATAAAACAATTCAGTTTTCTGTAGCTAAAAATCTCAAAATAGCAGCAGTTTAAAGAAAGAAAAATTCATACAAAATCTGAGGGGAAAGGAAAAGATTGATAGGAAGGCTGATAGGTGTGACATCCTGATAGGACGGTGGTGATGAAAACCACCATGCTGCTGATGGGGATGGTGAACCAGAATACCCCTGTATTTCCCCTCGGAGTTCGTAATTTATTGAGAAATAAGAGCTAGTGATCAGACTGATGGAAATCAAAGTATGAGTTTTATTACTGAAAAAGTCTACCTGGGGATTGTTTGGGGAAAAGTTAATAAGGAAACAGAAAGAACATGGTCATTTCAATACCTTCCATCCCAGAGAGTGGAGTGGAAGTTTCTTCCCCTCCAGATGAACTGTGAAGATGAAATGTTGCCTTTTAACACAATAGTGGGGATTTTGTGGTTACTCTGGTAGATGATACATAGATCATAAAAGAATCTGGTTAAGTAATATCATGATCAAAATTGTGTTATGTGGAAATGAATCTGAGTCTTGAGTGCTGCAGAAATTGGAGAAGGTCAATTAGGACAATTGCAGGAAAATTGGTGGGATAACATGTAGGATACATTTGGGGTCTCTTGAGAATGATGGCATTAAGAATAAAAAAGAGATAATGAGTGGCAGAGACACAGAAATGCCAGAATCTCTAGAACTTGGCAACTGACAAATAAGGCTAGAAAGATAGGGAGGAGGTAGATACCTGGAATTTTAACCCTGGTTCATTTTGGAAGATGGTTACAGTAGGAAAATCAGGAAGAATTGATATCGGTGAAGAACTAAATTAATACAGAATTCACCTTGGGCTAGTTTAGTTGGTGCTGTCAGTAAAAGAAAATCTGTTTAACTCAACAACTATTTATTGAACACTTATTATGCATAAGCCGCATAAGAAGAGGGCAGAAATAAATTGATGTTCTTTGAAAGGAAAGGACATTAAATTCTGGCCTTTGAAACCAAGATATATCATTTTGAGATGGGATTTGGAACGTGTATATGATTTTATTGGCACTTTTATTACACATGAAATATGTTTATGATAGAAAAATGAGAACATGCAGGTAAATAGAGAAAAGAATTTATAACTGAATCACTGAAGATAGTTGATATCTGTTTATACATATATGCAAATCCATAAATAAATGGAATCCTATTTTTTATAAACTTTAATAAAATACTTGTTTTTTTTTTTTTTTTTTTAGATTTTATTTTATTTATTCATGAGAGAGAGAGGGAGAAGCAGGCTCCCAAGGAGCAGGGAGCCTGATGCGGGACCCAATCCCAGGACTCTGGGAACATGACCTGAGCTGAAGGCAGACGCTCAACCATCTGAGCCACCCAGGCGCCCAATAAAATACTTGTTATTAGCATAACTGGGGGAAATTTACATACATTCTAACAAGCAGAAGGGCACACGGTTAATTCTCAGAAAACAGAGTAGCCTCATTTAGCCAGGGTGCATGGTCCTTGGTGGGCGAATCACGTGGATGCTACAGGAGGATTGAAGGCATATGGCAGCATCCACTGTGCTGGTGTGTTTTCCATCACCCAGGTTCTTAGTTACATATTCTTTTGTGGATGGCTTTTTAAACATTATGTCTTTCCCCAACTGCTACGCTTAATTTTGTGCCTAATTGGTCATTTGCGAACAAGCTGACGGTGCTTGCCTACCTTTCAGCTATATGCCTACGCCACGACAGCAGACGGTTATGCCCCGGAGTACCCACTCCCCTTGGTATTCAAAGTTGAAGATGATAACGATAATGCTCCGTATTTTGAAAACAAAGTGACTGTCTTTAGTGTGCCTGAAAATTGTCGAACTGGTAAGTCCATATCGCAGGAGAACACTAGATTTTTGCTTTGATTCAATTCCTCAGTAATGTTTTAAACACAATTATGCAAAAACACTTAACAATGCTTGAATGTCAAGGCTATTCTATATAAAACTTTGTAATCTTCGAAGAGCGTATACTCTTCAAAGGCAAACCTTTCTGTGCTCATCTGTGCTGCGCACAGGCACCAGGGAGCTAATACATGAAGTTACCAACCTCATTAGATTAGTCCACAATGCATATGAGTGTGTCACAGAAATGCTATTCATATTTTTTATTTTGCCCATGTACACAGGTGTCACAGATGCATTTATAAAGCAATAAATAATCTGAGTCTTTAAAAAGTTTCAATACATTTTCAAGGACCCAGAAATATATCATCTCGTGGAAATGTTTATCTGACTTTTAACAATATATACATCCATTTCCTTGGCAAATTGGTTTGATGTTATAGGCAGCCAAGACTGTGACTTAGGCACATCAGTGGGCATAAGACTATCCAGTTTCTTTTAAAAATAAAAATGTTACAAGAAATGCCTCCTCCATTCTCTTGTCATTAGGTATGTATGCATGTTTAACACTGTTCTTTCATAGTTAGTGGTTTGCTAAAGCAACATTTCTCATACTTGGATCCCTGGGCTGTAAAGCTTGTCCAATGATACTCGGACTGCTATACAATGTCTGTCTTACATATACTAATGAGTACTTGCGTGTATTAACAATTCAGCACATTTATTACAATATCAAGGTATAAAATCTTTGTTATCCTATTCAAAGCTGTGCTATTCGTCTCACTAATAGCATTATCAAGTTGGCCTATAAAAGAACCAAGACCTTGCAGACAAGGTCCCATCCAAAAATGGTCTGTGAACTGGGGTGGTGGGTTGGGGAGAAGGATTTGAGAACCACTCTTACCAAGGGTGGTGTGCATCTTCCCGGACATGTGGCATATAAATCCTGTTATTCAAAATACCCACATCATTGAAATTTCCAAGTGAGGGGAGCTTGGAGTTTGGGAGAGCATTTAAGACACTCCACTTGTTTGTAAAATCAATATACTTGTCATTTTGGGGAGAATAGGCTACAACCATACGTTGTTTGTTTGTAATTCAATTATATGGCTCTTTTAAGTTGTTGACAATATGGGATTTATCTGAACAGGAACTTCGGTGGGACAAGTGACTGCCGTAGACCTCGATGAACCTGACACTCTCCATACTCGTCTGAAGTATAAAATCTTACAGCAAATCCCAGATCATCCAAAGCATTTCTCCATACATCCAGACACAGGTGTCATCACCACAACTACACCTTTGCTGGATAGAGAAGTAATGAACTGATTAACTAATTTTACAGTCACTAAACTATATTCAAACTGATAAGGAACTCCCAGAGGAGTCTGACCACCTCTCCAAGCTTGCTTCCACACAGGCTGTGCTTAGGGCTTCTCTGGATACTTCCTTTGTGTCTACAAAGATTTGGGGAAGGTACAAGGAATTAGATAAGTTCTCACTTAAGATCATTGACCTGATGTGATGTGTGGATGTGAAATAGCTTTAAATTTTGAAATTTTGTTAGACATATCAGGTTTCTATTGGACTGACTAGCCAATCTCTTGTTCTGTATTTATATTTGAGGTGGCCTTTTCTTTTTTTTGTAAAAAAATAAAAAAAGAATGTAAAATAATCAGAGCCTACACATGGCTATGAGAATTGCAAGTTATAGGAAATAGAAGTGTTCATCAATGTACCTTTTTCTTTCTTTTTTTTTCAGCATTGTGATACATACAAGTTAGTAATGGAAGTGCGAGACATGGGGGGCCAACCTTTTGGTTTATTTAATACAGGAACAATTACTATTTCACTTCAGGATGAAAATGATAATCCACCATATTTTACCAAAACTTCTGTGAGTATATCTTTGTACTCATTTACCTAGGTTCATTTACTTTTTCAAAAAAAACACACAAGGAATTCGGTAGTTCTGTGAGATTACATATTTTGGTTTTAAGAGCTACCAGTGACAGATAACATGTAAAAAATATGATTTCTGTAAAAATAATTGAAGAACCAGTTATTTCTAAATGCTAAGGAAAAAAAACTAATCTCTTGGCTATCTAAGGGCTTCTTTGTCCTTGATGTTGTTCATGTATTCACCATTTTCTTGGATGCCAAGGTCTGTTATTGGATGCCTTGGATTTAAATTTATTTTATAGAGTGCAGGAAAAGAGGCCCTCTCTCTCTCTCTCTGGTATCCTTTGCACTTCAGCTTCCTAAGATGCAAAAGAGATTAGCTTTATATCCTCTGCTTTGCTGGGGCATCAGTAAGTACAGTGTGGTCCTCCCATTATCTATATGCAGATCCTCCCAGCATCATGTATGAGTGAACTTTCCCTTAGGAAGTACACAAAACAAGAAATATATATAGGATGATACTTCCAGGAAATGGCTCTTCTTTCCTGAACTTTTAGTAAGTGATCATTTTTTCATTAATCTATACGAGAGTACAAGTTAAAGAAGAGAAAACCTTCAGTGATAGGCTCATTCATACAATGTTTTATATGAATCCCTACAATTTGTAAGGATATGTTTATCCCATAGTTTATTTGAGAAAATGAATATTCAGTTAAGTAATTTGCTTATGATCTCATACATATAGACCATGTAAGAGGAAAAACTGGGATTAGAATCAAGATCTGTTATACTCCAAAGGCTATAAGGTTATCATCCTTCTTTGAATTCATTTTACATTTCTAGAAGATTCTGGTTTACTACTTTTTTTAATCTTTTAATATAATATGCTTCTGTAGCTGTATTTCTTTTTTGGAGGGAAGAGGAAAAAATGTGATTTAATTTCTCAAAAAAGGAAAAACTTTTTCCTTAAAATGTTTGCTAAGGAATCACAAGTAAATTAAAAACAAAAATTGGCATAATAACAAGTCATCCAGTAATAATAAGAAATCAATGTAGGTTATAATTATCTATAAATGTTGAAGGCTTAATATGTTAATATAAAAGGGGCCATAGGCTATAAATATTGAGGAGATTCAGAACAGAGACAAATCTGAGGGCTTGAGTGATCTCAGAGAAGTTTAGAAGTTAAGACATGAGTTAGTCTTTGAAGAATGGATAAGATTTGAGAATGCAGTTTAGTGAAGAAAGAAGTAATCTATGCATGAAATTTGTAAATTCTTTCCAATTTATGATTTCATGTTCCCAGATAACTTTATTTTCTTTTTCTTTAAATGTAGAAAATCATGTTGTTAAAGGTATGAATTTATCATAACAAGAGTCAATTGTTTTAGTATTTTACAGAAGTAGAAGAAAACAGAATTGACGTCGAGATTTTACGAATGGCGGTACATGACCAGGACTTGCCAAACACTCCTCACTCAAAGGCTGTCTACAAGATCCTACAAGGAAATGAAAATGGAAACTTCAAAATTAGCACAGACCCCAATACAAATGAAGCAGTCTTGTGTGTTGTCAAGGTAAACAACAACAACAAGAGGATCAAGCAATACTTTAAAAAATACTGATGTACCCTTGGGCATTGATATTTACATATCTTTATCCTACATACTATCTATCTCTCTAGTAATTCTTGTATGTATATGACTAGAGAATTGCAATGCAATGCTGAAATGATTTACATTTGTTTACTTAAATGTTTTTATTATTATTATTTTACCCTCATTTTTTTTCTTAGAAGATGGGCATTGCAGGTACAAAACACATTGTTCTCTATACATGGGGAAAACCAAGGCAAAGAAATATTGTATTAGTAATCAAATATTAGTCTTACAAGGAGTCTTAGACACCCACTTGTCCCTTACTTTATAGAACACAAGACAGAGAAAAATGGAAGAACCACTACTGGAAATCAAACCTCTAGATTTTTCAATTGCCTTCATATTCATATTATACTTTTACTTCTCTATGATGTATAAGACAGACTATTTATTAAATATTCAGCAGCTATTCCCATTAATCCTCCTATATTTGAGGTAGCCAGTGCTTTGGGATTTTAAACATTCAGTCGCAATTACTAGTACCCAGAATGATAAACTGCATCTGATTCCTTTCTCCCTTCCAAGTACTAACCAGGCCTGAACCTGCTTAGCTTCTGAGATCAGACAAGATCAGGCGTATTCAAGGTGGTATGGCTGTAGGCACACCTAGTTCCTTTCAGTGTTCTTCTACCCATTGCCCTTACTAACCTCTGACATACTTTCCCTGGTTAATTTCTTAGGGACAGTATATTTTCTTAGAGGCTACATGCACAAGTCGTACTTTCCTCCCAAGATTTTTAAGAAAATGCCGTTTATTATATTGCTTATTCTTTCTCTCACTCACTCTCTTTTTCTTTTTCTTACTGGGGTTTTTTGTTTCTTTTTGATTGTTTGTTTTTGGGGGGTCTAGGTTTCTTTCTCTTGCTTTCCTTTTTTTGTTATCTTGACAGATTTCAGTCTCTAATTGTTTAACCATTGTTTCAAGATTCTTTCTTATTCAGTTCAGGACTGAGCACTTTGATTAGGAGCTATACAACCTTAAATATAATCATTTTAAAAAAACCCTAAATATAATATAAGATGCTACTAGGTAGTATCACTATAATTTTTACGTATACATTCAGAGTAACTGCTCCATTATAACCAAATCTCATGTCCTAGTGGTCTAATTATTTTATATACTTCTTCTTATACTCTTCATATACTTCTGTTGTCTTAGTTATCACTGTTATCCCATTTGATAAATTTGGATTTATTCAAACACTTATTCTGTATTTCTATTAATATTTAAACTTGTAATGAAAAAAACTGAAGGCGGGACCTTCCCGAAGAAAAGTGAGAAGAAAAATTGGTTAAATCGTCAACAGTTTTGCATTTGATAGTGCTTATCATTACTGGAAGTCAACTATTAGTCTTTAACTACATTCGCACCTGCTTTTGGTAACATTTTATACACAAAAATGATATTCCTTTTTGTGCTAAAACTTGGAATCGTAATTATAAGTCTTCTATATATAGTGTTACAAATTGACTGATTCAAGTATGTTTATTGAACAGCCATTGAACTATGAAGTCAATCACCAGGTTGTTTTGCAAATTGGTGTACTTAATGAAGCACAATTCACTAAAGCAGCAAATTCAAAAACTCCTACTATGTGCACCACAACTGTCACTGTTAAAATTAAAGACAGTGATGAGGGTCCTGAATGCCAACCTCGAGTAAAAGTTATTCAGAGTAGAGATGGCCTCCAACCTGGACTAGAATTGCCCGGATACAAAGCGTTGGATCCAGAAACACGCAGTGGTGAAGGCTTAAGGTAAGGTATTTTTCAAAATGACATATTTTGAGATTATGTCCACTCTTTGGTTTGAGAATTTACACTTGATTTCTAAAAATTAGGTATAAGAAGATAGGAGATGAAGATAACTGGTTTGAAATTAATGAACACACCGGTGACTTGAGAACTATAAAAGTGCTAGATAGAGAATCAAAATTTGTAAAAAACGACCAATACAATGTCTCCGTGGTTGCAATGGATACAGGTGAGCGCAATTTTCTAGAAATAGAGGATATATTTTAAAGGAAATCTTGGAGTGAACTTTGTTTACTTTCATATCAGAAGTTCATGCAAAACAGATTTGCATTGATTGCTCAATGTATTGGAGACCACCCAATGTCAGCTCCAGTTCATCAGTAATGCAAAACTAGGAAGTGAGGAATGGCCGAAGACATGGTGGCATCCTCCAGGATCTCCACTTTTTTTTTTTTAGGAGTACATATTTGGATTATTATGGTTTGAACTTGTTGAAAGGGTTTAGCCCTCCTAAAACAGTTGGGTTCAAGGTACGTCTGTTCTGAGCCTCTCTTAATGGGCTTATCCTATTTCCTAAGAAATGGTCAAAAGATGACTCAAGTCTTTTGTGGTGGTTTGCAATCCTTCTCCAAAGTTAATCCTAGAAATTATCTTGTGAAGAAATGTCCTTCAAATGTCATAAAGTAGTAATTTCCAAATCCTTTTGAATGTGCACTCCTTGCAGCCATTTTTGAATGTGGACCATTACAATGGGCTACGATGTATGCCTGACAGCTTTGTTTGTTTTGTAATGCAAGTGCCTGCCGGACTTAAGCTTTGATTGCTAAGGCTTCAGCTTCAAAGATGGCTATCTGGAATAAACATTGCCAAGCAGACTAGAAAATGATCCAGATCAAGTCACAATAGCCCTACCATCCCAAGCTCCTTTGTTTTAGAGATCCTGCTTGATTTCAGTAACTGACCCCTGGGGCCACTGGTTTTTTCACTTCCAAGCTCTTTAAATTTCTACTCTTATGTCTTAAATTCACCAATAAAGAGTGAGCTCGAGAAACCCTCAGCCCCCACTCTTGACCCCAATAAAAGCAGTATCCCAGGCTTGTTTTTTTTCTCCCTGCCCCGTACAACCTCGCTGTGTGGCCCCAGGAGTGCCATGTAATTTCCAGGATATGTAAGTAATAAACCTTTTTTCCCCCAAAGTTTCCTGATGGTTGGGACACCTTGCAATCATATAAGAACCACAAGGGCCAGTCTAGCCACAAAATTGTTTATCTACAGGCTGAGAGCCACACACAGCAACCTCCCTATATTTACTAGTATGTTTGTATACATGTGCTACTAGGCTAATGTATGCACCATAAAAATGTACAAACAAGCACTTGTAAAGTACTATTTCCATGTGCCAAAAATACCTAGTTTTCAAAATCTAAAAGAAAAACTAAATGACCTTCCCTTCCTCTTGATACCTCTCACACAGACTTTTAATGTAGTTCTTTCAATATAGGTAGGAAAAAAAACTACTGAAGAATGGAGAAAACATTAGCTGAGAAATATAGTTAATGTTGCGGCCACTCTAAAACCCTGGATGATTTGCTACTCCTGTATAAGCAGAAACGAAAGCTGAATGGTTTAAAAACACAATTATGATGTCAAAGAAGGATTTACATTTACTCGTTTATTTCACAAATTTTGATAGTCTAGTAAATTCTAAGTACTAGGCAAATCACCATGGAAACTAGAATTCAGAAGACAAGGCCAAATTCTCATATGATATGAAAGAAAGGATTACTATATTCTCATAAGAAGTTCTTGGTATGACAACTTTCCCCATAAAAGATTGTATGGCTATCATAAGAAGTAGAAATTAGTTAAGAGCTGCCCCGATTAAAGGATAAAGGGGAGTTTCACATAAAAGAGGAGCTTAGCTAGCAATAGGAAAATGAAATACTATTTGAAGAGAAGGAAAATACAGAGAATAGAAATATAAGAAATTAACTTTGTCTTTTGTTGCTAAAAATACAAGGAAATGAAACGCCAAATCTATAAGAATCTATGCCCCAGGCTCATGGATAACCTAGGTGTGCTCACGAAGAAGTAAAGACATGGATGTTATAGACATTTTAATGTAAGACCACATGGTGACATCAATGCTTTGTGTATTTGAACTTTAATCCATTAATATATACTTCCAAGGACCAAATATATAAGTTTTTACTTATGTTTCCACATGAACGTTTAGTTTTGTTGCTCATAAATATTTCAAGATGATGACCTAGACTTTCTTCTAGCTTTCTTCGAATCCAATTTCTTTACTTCTGTTTCTTCTGTCAGTCTTCTTTGTCAAGCAGACTGGTTTTCCTGCTGTCACTCTAGAAAGCACTGTTTTTTTTATTTTTATATTTATTTTTAAGATTTTATTTATTCATTTGAGACACAGAGATACTGAGAGAGAGCGAGAGAAAGCATGAGCAGGGAGAGAGGCGGAGGGAGAGGGAGAAGCAGGCTCCACGCTGAGCCAGGAGCCCGATGTGGGGCTCGATCCCAGGACCCCGGGATCACGACCTGAGCCGAAGGCAGACGCTTAACCATCTGAGCCACCCAGGCGCCCCTAGAAAGCACTGTTTTATGCACCTTCTGCCTAGTATAGCACTGCCCTTCCTGTTTGAAATTCAGGTCCCTTAACTTCTTCAAATGAATGACAGTGACATCTTCTATGACTCTTTCCACTCGTCTGTGTTTAGTTCTTCTCTTAATACCTCTTAAATCTCCCTTCCCTGGGGATGATATATTAATTATCACAAGTAATGTATCTTTTCTATAAAAGGGTGTTTCATTGCTTCTCATTTATATCACGTTCCTCTAAGGAATTCTGTTAATTAACTCACATCTTTGTTAGTTTGCTGATTTTGAAGTTGTTACTCGTATTCAAATTTATCTACAAATTTCTGGCAGTATCAAAATGTTTATATCCTATTGCAGATTTCTTATTAGAAGAGCTGTATCTCTCTTTTATTTCTAGATATTGTAAAATTTGTTCAGATAGAATAATTTTTAAAGAGGTATATAAAATAGTGGCCTTTTATGAAGTAACTTAAAAATAACTTTTAATAAATTAATTTTGTAGTTATTCAACAGAAAATCATCACTGAAATATACTCCAAGATATGGCTTAAGTGTTATTTCAATTACCAATAAACGCGCCTCAGATAAACCTCATTGGCTACGATACTGCCACTGAGCAAAGTTTAAGTGTTATTTCAAATTAAAAATGGATTATATTTGCATATGATTTATAGTGGTCTTTATGATAAATGCTGAATTTATCTAATGCTCCAAATTTAGACCAGCATTCGAAGCAAAGAAATGAGAAACCGTATCAATTATTTTTCTGTTTATTTCAATTTTGAAAGGTTACCATTTATTGTAGTTTATTATCTTCTCACAAATGGTAAAATTTAGGCATGTTTTTTGAACTTCATTATCTCTTAAACACAAATAATGGGCAATATTTTCATTAAAGATATTGAGACTTATGGTGTAAAGCATTAGGCCAGTAACAGTGGCCATCTGGAGATGAGTAATAGCTCCTAGGCCAAAAACATATTTATTGAATTAGGGAGGGGGTACAAACTTATTTTTATGGTTTATTCAACTAAGTTTTTTGTAAAGTATAAAATAGTAATTGCATTATGTTCAAGGTGTTAGTATGAAGTTATGTTAGCCAAGAAATGCAAGGCAGATCATTAGGCTCTCAAGATAAACATGACTTAGCTCTTAGGATGAACAGGTTCACAGTTCAGTGTGTGAGACGGTGATGAGCAAAGTGTTCTGAGAAATCAAAGGAGAATATTGCTGCCATTGTCCATAGATGTCACGGCAGGTTTCAAGAGGAGTTATCTGATGGATTCTTGAAGGATAACAAAGTATTACCAGGCAAAGCGAAAGAGAAAAGTAGTCCCAGCAGTGGCAACAAAATGTACCAAAGCAGACAGCAAAAAGTGCACCTAGTGGGTTTGATGAGAAGTTTTACAAAGTTCGAGCAAAGAATATGTGAGGAAATGAGTCAGAAGAGGAAGTCAAAGGAAGTGACTGATGACCAAATGTGAAGTCTTTGTATATTCAAGATGAATATATGCTCTTCACAAAGAAATCTGTAAGAAATTTATTTTCAAGTGGCTATTCTGTAATGACATTGCTCATAATCTCATGCTTTTTCATTTTAAAAAGCACCTCAAGATAACATCTGATAGAGCCATCAATCTTCAGGGAAGAGTGACGTGTCACTATTTTGTATTTGTAGCAATGGTATTTGTGATCCAAAAGTGTGTGAAAATCAAGTTCAGACAGCCACTAAAAAGCAGATGTCAGCTGTGTATCACAGAGATGTTGAAAATAAGTTTTTAAGTGAAGAAATATCCTATTTTTTATTTTTCTTAGATGGCAGATCTTGCACAGGAACATTAGTAGTTCTTTTGGAAGATTATAATGACCACCCACCACAAATTGATAAAGAAGTGACAATTTGTCAGCATGCTAAGGATTATGCTGTTCTGAAACCTGTAGATGCTGATGGACCCGAGAATGGTCCACCTTTTCAATTCTTTCTGGATAATTCTGCCGACAAACTTTGGAATTTAGAAACAAAAGATGGTATGTAATTATGCTAAATCTTCTAATCAGTGGGAACTTAAGATGGCTGATGGTTTTGACATTCACCTTAGTTCATTATGATAAACATTCATTTTAGGAAATTATTTTATTGAACCCCCCAAAAGGATAATACCTTTTTTTTAAAAAAAGCTCTTGTTAGCATTTAATGAATCTCCCTCCCCATGGCTTCAAGCTACCAGGACACAGACCTACCCCACACCCTGCCACCACACACACACACACACACACACACACACACACACAATCTTCTCCTCCACTCTTCCACTGAAGAATCTGACCTTCAAGATGGCAGGCTGGGAAGCTTTCCTTCTCCAAAACTTCGCAGTAGCTGGGGTGCAGCACATCAGTGATAAGAGCAGCTTCGGTTTTGTTTTGGGCAGCATTTACCCGTGTCTGCTCACTGCCCTAGGTCCACAGTTTGTCAAGGTCGACAGTTGGGCAAAAGCTCTGGTTCCTCTTTAAGTGGTAATGCCTCATACTAACTTTTCCGAAGTGACCTAGGTGATACTGGTCAAAGTTGATCTGGCGGTGACGCATGCATGCCCCAGCATCACCCCCGCCTCCTGGGCACTTCTGGTGTTAGCCCATGCGGTTGTGGCCGTGGCTCACGTGGCCCCCGAAGTTTCTGGGTTTTCCTCAGTCTGGACGGCATGTTGGCAGCCCAGACAAAAGAGCAATACCTTACCTTTTAAAAGCAATGCATAATATATTCATGTTTAGACTCTTGTTCCAAATATCTTTTAAGAAAACACATCAATCCATTTTAGTATAGTATTTGAGTAATGTTAAGTATAGATTAGTCTAATGTAAAGTGTAGAGCAATATTAATTCATTTTCCTGGTTTTTCAAGAAATCAAAATCATTTTTAAGAAATAAAAATGAGGGGCACCTGGGTGGCTCAGTAGGTTAAGCATCTGTTGGACTTTTGATTTCAGTTCAGGTCATGATCTCAGGGTTGTGAGATTGAGCCCTGTTTTGGGCTCCATCCTGGGCATGGAGTTGCCTTAGGATTCTCTCTGCCCCTCCTCTCTCTCCGTCTCTCCTTCTCAAAAAAGAAAGAAAGAAAGAAAAAAGAACTTTTAGAGTTTTTCCTTTAAGCTAAATTCTGCACCTTCAACTCCCCACCCTACCCCAAGCATACCAAGTAGGAATAATATTGCGATTGAAAGGTCATATGAATATACATTCTGTCTTTTTTTTTCTCTAGGTAAAACTGCCATTCTTCGTCAGCGGCAAATTCTTGATTATAACGAATATAATGTGCCTATCATAATAAAAGATAGACATGGTTTAAGTGCAAAACACATGTTAATGGTGAGAGTATGTGCCTGTACAACCCCATCTGACTGTAACAAGAATTTTAAGAGAGATGTTAAGCCAAACGTAATACTTGGAAGATGGGCTATTCTTGCCATGGTGTTGGGTTCTGCATTGCTGTTATGTAAGTATAATTATCTAGAATGTGTTAGTGGAAGTCTTATCTAATATTTAAAATATATATATGGTAGTTCTTTATTTAATGACCTTTATAGTCTTTGGTAAATGTGCCCTTTAAATGTGTCCTTTTAAAACTCTTGTGTGTACTATGTGACTGGGGGTTTCAATTCACAGAAGAAACATATCAGTAAGAGCAGATTAAATTTAAACTAATTTTCGGAGGTGTACCCTTAGTTCTTCCATTAGAAGGTGTGAGACACTGGATAGATCATTTCCTCTTCTTTGAGCTCATTTTTCCACAAGTATAATAAAGAGGTTGGTTAAGATTCCTTCCCATACAAAACATAGTCTTGTAACCACCAAGTTTATGCACAGGAAGAATTAGTGAAGAGTACTTACAAAATTCACATAGATGTTTATGCTCACTGTTATTAATGAAGGGATTTAACATACATTTTTTTTTAAGATTTTATTTATTTATTTGACAGAGACAGACAGAGAGAGAGGGAACACAAGTTGGGGGGGTGGGAGAGGGGGAAGCAGGCTTCCCACCGAGCAGGGAGCCCGATGGCGGGGCTTGATGGCGGGGCTTGATGGCGGGGCTTGATCCCAGGACCCTGGGATCATAACCTGAGCTGAAGGCAGCTGCTTAACCAACTGAGCCACCCAGATGCCCTGATTTAACATACATCTTAAGAAGACTCCAATGAAGCGTGACTGGCTGACTCAGTCAAAAGAGCACACGACTCTTGATTTCAGAGTTGTGAGTTTGAACGCCACGTTGGGTGTAGAGTTACTTAAAAATAAATAAATAAACTTAAAAAAGAAGGAAAATTGGAATTCTAAAAAAAAAAAAAAAAAGACTCCTGTTAGTGGAAAATGGTCAGATGGTGAGCCACTGAGGAAAACAATACATGCAAAGGATGTTAAGATTTTTCATTCCGCAAACTTTTTTTCAAGATGCAAAAGTGATGGAAATCATTGCCCACACTTCTTTCATCTCTCCTTCCCACTCATCTTTCTTTTTCAATAATTTATTTGACTACAGAACCTATTTGCATTTACAGACTTTCCCCATAGTCTTTACTGTTTCCTAATGCATTGATTTGAGTTTCAGGTAAAACTGGACGTTCGTTCCCCTTAGCACGGTTCAAAACTGGGCACAGATTTTATGTAACTGCCTTTCATGTTTGTATTTATGCCTAATGCCCTTTGAGTGTGTTCTACATGTATGGATTTGAATTATCAATAATACTAGCTTAAATTTCAATCAAAGGGAGTTACTATTTCAGTGTGGAGGAAATAAGAGAAACATTTAAGTTAATTCTGGGCTTGGGAAGAGACCTATTAATAAACTATGCTCACTTCATCCTTCTTACTTTTAATTGATCTTTTTCTCATTTAGCCTAATAACATAATCTCAATAAGACAGAGATGGTCTATATACTAATACATTTGTTAATATTCTGTTTTAAATTTCATGACCCAAAGGGATCTTAATTTATAAAACAAATTCTTTAAAGTTCTGTGAAGAAACTTTTAAAATATCATGATTTAAATGATATACACGAACATGAAAAAATGCTATTTTACTTAAATACTTTTTTATTTTTTAGGTATTCTATTTACTTGTTTCTGTGTTACTGCTAAGAGAACAGTAAAGAAATGTTTTCCAGATGTAGCCCAGCAAAATTTAATTGTGTCAAACACTGAAGGACCCGGAGAAGAAGTGATGGTAAATTAGATTTCACTTTCGTGTGAATTGTGTGGTGATCCAATGATAACAGCTGATTATTACATAATAATAGTAATAATAATAACAACTAATGTTTATTGAGCACTTACTATGGCAAGCAGAACTCCACCTGCTCTGCATGCATTAACTTATTTTTTTTTTTAAAGATTTTATCTATTTATTTGAGAGAGCAAAACAGAGAGAGCACAGGTGGTGGGGAGGGGCAGAGGGAGAGGGAGAAGCAGATTCCCCGCTGAGCAGGGAGCCCAACGCGGGGCTCGATGTGGGGCTCGATCCCAGGACCCTGAGATCATGACCTGAGCCAAAGGCAGACGCTTAACCAACTGAGCCACCAGGCATCCCTGGGTTAACTCATTAAACTTCATAATACTATTGTATTAGTTTCATAGGACTGCAAAGAATCAAAAACTGGTAGTTCCTTGACTTAGGGCAGCATAAATCAAATCTTCATATGGCATTCTTCTCCTTGTGTGCATGTCTGTGTCCAAATTTCACCTTACCCACCCTGAGTGTGGCCTTATCTTAATTTAACTAAATACATATGTAATGACCTATTTTTAAACAAGATCGCATTCTAAGGCATTGAGGGTTAGGGCTTCAGCATAATGAATTTTGATGGGAAAGAAATGAAAGGAAATTGTTAGTTTCAATTTGATTCACTCATTTTATAACTCTACCTTTATTTTTAGGAAGCAAATATTAGACTCCCCACACAGACATCCAACATTTGTGACACAAGCATGTCTGTTGGCACTCTTGGTGGCCAAGGAGTCAAAACACAGCAAAGCTTTGAGATGGTCAAAGGTGGCTACACTTTGGATTCCAGCAAAGGAGGTGGACATCAGACCTTGGAATCTGTCAAGGGAGCAGGACAGGGAGTAATGGAGCCTGGCAGATACACATATACTGACTGGCACAGCTTCACCCAACCTCGGCTTGGTGAGGTGAGTGCCAATGTCTTCGAGTTCTTATTCCATGAAAGTTAAAAATGATTTATAAATCAGGATTTCCCAAAAGTTTTACTCCTCAGGCATGTGGAACTCATCACCTTTTGAGTCTTTAATTATCATAGATACAGATTTCAGGCCCAAGCCCAAAGGGAAAAATGATCTTTCCGAGTTTAATTTTTAAAATAAGGTTTACAAAACTGCACAGCTATCTAGGAATGGCATATGTATACATGTTTAGGAAGTGTAAGAAGACTGGTAGCTTCTTCTGTAAAAATTACCAGGAAAATCACCTGGAATGAAAGATTTGTATAGAGTGATGCATGGATCATAATTTATAAACATTTTTTTAGTGTACTGAATCCTCTGTGTAGTTATGAAGGCCTGGCTATCAACATTAACCAGACAGACTGTTCAGCTTTTATTTTGGGTTTTAGTTGCTTGTTTTAGGTTCAGATTAATCAATATTGGTTATTATTAGCCAGTTGAATATATTACATTATTGTCACTATATAACTGTATATAAACAGAAGCCTATATTTGTTCCCCCAAATATGTGAAGAAGCTGAAAAGATACATTGGAACTACACAGATCTTATGTTCAAATGGGAAATTGTAGGTTAGCTTTGTAATATATGTGTATTTTTAATTTTCATAAATGTGTTCACTAGGAGCATTTATATATCTGCTATATTTTCAGAATGAATATAATACAGACCAATCATGTGCATTTTTTATATGTAGGAATCCATTAGAGGACACACTCTGATTAAAAATTAAACAGTAAAAGGTAAATCAAAGACATTATTTTTATGCTAATATGTTTAGGTGTCTTTAAAAAAATAATAAAATGTGCTCTTTTTTGATACAGAAGGTCTATCTGTGTGGACAAGACGAGGAGCATAAACATTCTGAAGACTACGTGCGTTCGTATAACTATGAAGGAAAAGGGTCTATGGCCGGCTCTGTAGGCTGCTGCAGTGATCGGCAGGAAGAAGAAGGGCTTGAGTTTCTAGATCATCTGGAACCCAAATTTAGGACGCTAGCAAAGACATGTGTAAAGAAATAAATGTGTTTTAACAGAGAAACATCTACAAATGCATATGTAGGAATTTACTGAATGTAAAATGATAGCAGCATCTGCTAATATGTTTGTTTATTGGAAGTAAACTTTGAGTCATGTATAGGTAAGGGTACTACAAATACAAAGCTCCCCTAAATTCTCCTCGTCTGATATAACTTCCATATTCGCTAGAAAGAAAAGTTTCATGTGTTAATTTTCTTTTATATGCATGTATATATTGCCCTTTCCAGGACTCTACCAATGTGCATTCTTGTATCTTCTGTTTGAAAACTTACGTTACTCTCTATGCTATGAAAGTGTGTGGTGGGAGAGCTGGGTATTGTCGAGGCTAATGAAAAATGAATTTTAATTTGATATGAAAATTAAATATTTTCTTCAAAATTCTGGGGAGATTGCTCTTAGAAATATTCTTAGAAATATCATCTTTGGTGCCAGAGAATTGATTCTTCTACCTGAGTGGCTATGTATTGAAGGACTTTTAAGTATTCTTTGGTGCAGTCTTCAGTTTGGTAAATAAGTATTCATTTCTCGCTGCACTTTTCACACTGCAGAGGTGCTCCCAGCACTGTTTGCTTTCAGGAGCCTTCAGCGCTTGGTCCTTGGATCTCTGCCCATATGGATGCATAATCAGGTTCCAGCTTCTATGTTTGTTGGAAAGGCATGGACCAGAACAAGCCCACAATAATGTGAGCCACAGAGATTTTGTAAGGATCGGATGGGAGGATTTCCAAGAAAGAATTGTAACCTTGATGCCCATGGTTGACTTAGACTCACAAATATGTTTCATTTGCCCACCAGGATGTACTATTACCTTTTTAAAATATAAATACCTTGGCAAAAACATGCACTGTCTAGTTTGACAGAGGCCCACCATCTTCCAGCATTTGTGAAACCAGCCTGGCAAGCATTAGACTTGCAATCCTGATCCACGGTGCTTAGCCTTTAAAATATGCTAAAAATGGAATGAGCAACCATATTGGAATTGAATACTCTGACTACCTTGGTAATTACTTTAAGAAAATGGAAAGTCAAAAATAACAAATTTCTAGCATGTAAATGTTAAAACATGGAAATCTATGAAAGCAACACTTAACCAAACAATTGTTGAATGACGGATAAATGAATGAACATATGAGTTAATAAATTATTTTGAATGTATAACATTTAAATAGGATATTATATTGTATTAAAATAGAAAGAAGCTATATATTTAATATTTTAATAGTCTTTTGTGCCAAACTCTCTAAATTTATAGACAATAACAGTATATATCACATAGAAATTTCTCATTCAGACCAAATAACTCTTTCATTTTCTTTATTAGCTAGTAAACTATTGAAAAGAGTGGTTGATTTTTTAAAATTTTGTAATTATTCTTCTTATTCTCAATTACAGCTTCTGATTAAAGCTGTTTCTTGATGTGAAATTGGATATTAGAACAGAATACAAAAGTAGTTTTAATAAATAAAATATTTTATTTTATAGGATGTCCACAATGTATGATTTTTATAGCAATTGTGAGTAAAATAATTTTGGGGGGTTAATGCAATTTCTGTTGTCTGAGGTATACATTACTCTGACAATGGTACCTGTTTGGAAATCTTTAAGTATAATATTAAAAATTTGGAAATAAATCATGCCATGTTATATTCTTGAATGTAGGTGCAGAACATTTTCTGAGCAATTAAAAACCATTAGCTGAACATTAACTTTTATGTGTTTGTTTATGTTTTCATTTCTTATATTTACTTAAATAGGAAAGAGAAATTTTATATCTGAACATAAAGTACAACTAAAGGCTTAAGGTTAGCAAAATAAGACACTCTAAAAGTATTACAAGATTGTTAGAAAGTATGGAAAATGGATTTGTATTAAGCAGTTTTGGCTATTTTAAATATTTTCAAATATTATTACAATTTATCTTGCAAAGGACCTATGATTTGTCTTTTATTTAGGAAATCCATGTTCTCTGTTTACACTCAAAATTAAATGTTGTTTGTATGACTGATAAGATTTATGAAACTCCACTGGCCTGTTTACCAATTTAGTTTGTTAATAAAACATTTTATATTTTTATGGATTATTTCATATAAGTTAATCATCAAATGTCAATAAATAAGTCATTATGAATTGTTCTTCTGTAATTAAATCTATAGTTAGGGAAAATATACAATTAAGCTTTTCTTATCTTGATTCAGATCTCAAAAGTATTCCATGTTGAAAAAAATCCCATGGGCACACTAAGATAGATGAAAATTGATACAATTATTATAAATTAGCTTTGTTAAATTCCTCTTTAACTTTACTGAGCTTTCAATTGTCGTGTTTATTAAAAATATTTTATAAAAGTTGTTATCTATGCTTATGTTTACTTTTAAAAAATGGAATATGCTGTTATTTGGAAATTGTTCACAATAGATGTTTTAGAGTTGAGGATTTTTATTATCATAGAAAAGAAAAGCAAACTCCATTTTGTGGTGTCTTAGCTTTAAAAGCCCTGTACCAGTTGAAAATCCTCAATTAGATTAGGGTAACAAAACAAAACAAATTATGTATATTTCTGCATGTCTCTGGTCTCTTATCTGCTTTTCTAATAAATCTGAAGGAACACTGCATTTGTCTTTCTACTTACACAGGGAAAAGAAAGAGCAGAACGCGTTACTAAGAATGGATAGACCCTTGTATATTTTGTATGGTTCAGGAAAATTAAGTAAGCATAATTTTTAAAAACTCTTTGAAAGGATAGTGTTGCATGAAAAAAATAATAAAAATCACAATCTCAAATCCTTATCACTAACAATAAAATAACCACATTCAAATATACGAATAAACTATATAAGAAGCATCATAGAAACAAATATGTTAAGTACATTCATAACACATTTTGTAAAGATTGATCGAATTATTTTAAAGTCTTCAGTGTTGAAGAACAAAAATTTAACTGAATAGATTTGAAGATGTAATTGGCTTTACTCAAGGACTCATGAATCTACCAGCATCCCCTCTAGTAAACAGACAGGCTCTCTGAGGAGCGGTGCAAAATGGAAGGTTTTTATAGCAGAAGGAGGGGGTGAGGGGAGGAAAGTCATTAGCAAAAGAAAAGAAAGGATTGTTTTGGGCCAGGCATTATTATGCAGATTATCTCACTGATGCTGATCAGGAAATTTCAGATTGACTTTTGAAAGGTCACACTTCTGGGAGAGTCTGAAACTACAATTAAATCATGGATTGCTGTCCCGGGGGCAAATGACTCCATTTTGGGCCTGTTGTTTCTTTCCCAACACTATTTAAAGTAACTTTTTTGATTGATAAGAATAAAATGCCCTTTGATAAAGCCAATCTACAGTTAGAAGTTGTTTGTTTCCAAACTGTAGAGAAAAACAATTAGAAATGAGTGTAGACTTCCTCTATATTTGAACCAACTTTTTTTTTTTAAAAGATTTAGTTATTGGGGGGCCTGTGTGGCTCAGTCGTTAAGCGTCTGCCTTCGGCTCAGGTCGTGATCCCAGGGTCCTGGGATCCAGCCCCGCACCGGGCTCCCTGCTCAGCGGGAAGCCTGCTTCTCCCTCTCCCACTCCCTCTGCTTGTGTTTCCTCTCTCTCTGTCAAAAAAAATAAATAAAATCTTTAAAAAAAAAAGATTTAGTTATTTATTTGCGAGAGTGCATGCTAGCAAGCGCGTGCATGAGCAGAGGGAAGGGCAGAGGGAAAGGGAGAGAATCCTCAAGCACACTCTGCTTGCGGTGCAGAGCGCCAGACAGGCCTTGATCCCAGGACCCTGAGACAACATTTTTAAAATTTAGTTGTCAGTGTGCAATAATTAACACCTATAATTTTGGAGTGTTCTTATTTGCCTATGTTTAGGGACCTTTAAATGCTATAACATGGAATTATTAATGTTAAAAAGAAACTTCAAGGCTTCCTTTGAGATAGCTGAGGTTTTACCTAGAATTCATACTAAAAATTCCTGTAGCATTATTTTCTGCCAGAACTCTGTAATCCAAAGTGGAGATGAAAGAATTCCCTTGCTTTGGCTTTGCCTCTCCTAATGTAATTAGAAAGTTGAGGGGGCGCCTGGGTGGCTCAGTTGGTTAAGCGACTGCCTTCGGCTCAGGTCATGATCCTGGAGTCCTGGGATCGAGTCCCACATCGGGCTCCCTGCTCGGCAGGGAGTCTGCTTCTCCCTCTGACCCTCTTCCCTCTCGTGCTCTCTGTCTCTCATTCTCTCTCTCTCAAATAAATAAATAAAATCTTAAAAAGAAAAAAAGAAAATTGAGGAATTAAGGGTAGATGACATTTATATAGTTTGTTTATATATAATTTAAAATCCAAATTCACAAAGACATTTCATCCATAGTAGGTATTCTACAAGATGGATATGTTACTGTTTTATGCCCTCTATATATGCCCTCACCTGTCTGAGATCTATGCTGAAATTCTATCAAGTGGTTCTTGAAATGTGATTGCTGGACCAGCAGCATCAACATCACAAAGGAACCTGCTAGAAAGGCTAATTTTGGGGTCCCTCCCCCAGATCCATTAGATAGGAAACAGGGAGGGTGAGACCCTCTTGGCATTGCTAAGGTATCAAATTTACCTCAGTACTAGTTCTTGGCTACTCTGCGTTGTTTACACCACCTGAGAGCTTGGAAGGAAAGTGGATTCAGACCCACCCCCAGACTTACTGAATCAGAATCTGCATTTCAACAAGATCCCCTGAATCAGAATCTGCATTTCAACAAGATCCCCAGGAGATCTACCCACACAGAAAACTTTGATAAGCCTCTGTAGTTGATCCTTTGAGAGGAACCTGCAAAAACTAATATGTGAACAACACAATGAACCAATGAGAGTAGGTGACACAAGTAGCCTCAGGCAGCAAGTTTGTGGCTACCATCCGGGAGGAAAATTGTCCCAGTTCACCTTGTGGCCTAAATTCAAGCCAGCTTGCCTCTTAACACCCACAAAGCAGACCTTCCCTCTCTGTGTTCTGTACCTGGA